TTGGCGCGCCGGCTACGACAGCGAAGACGTTCAAGGTTGAATTCTGTGACGCGGACGCATCGAGGGACACGGCGACGCCATTGGACCCGATGGAATTCAACCTTGAACGATCGGAGCTGCGATCGATTCAAGGTTGAACGATCGACGAGGTGTCAAAAACCTCTGCGCGCGCCAACGCCGCACGACCCTACTGTATCTGTGTGTCCTGGGGCCCCTTCACGTGCCGCGCGTGATCCCGCCGTGGGTGTTCCCAGCTCCCGGGTGCGCGGTCGCCCCGTGCACGGCGGAGGGGAGGGGGGGGGGCAGGGCGCGCGCGCCTCGTGCGGTGGTGCCCCGGTCCGGAGGGCCACAGATTGGCATTAGGAGGGAAAAAACACACAGACACAATTGATCGTCGATTCCCTAGAAGACATGGGGAGATATGGGAAGTGGGGGGGAAGACAGAAACCCAGAAAATGTGGGAGAATATGGGGAATCCTCTTATTTGAGTGTATTTATTTGTGTGTCCTAGGGCCCCTTCGCACCAGCCTCGAACCCATCCCCGTCCCTAAGATTGGCACGCCAAAAGGCGATGACAATCTCAGGGATGCGCCCTCAAAAAATCAGGGAATCCCTAAGATTGGCATCGTGATGAGGAGACGCCCAGCATAGGGATAGGGATCTGTTCCAGGCTGGTAAACAGATCGTGGCCAGTGCAGCACAGCAGTCTTCGGGCCGCGCACTCGTGTGGCCCGATCCGTCTTCCCCTTCCACCTGTGTCTTTCCATCTCACCTCCCACTTCCTTCCCTCTGCCCCTCTCTCGTCCTGGTACGAGCTGTCGACCAGAAACAGTGTCCAGGCGAGTTGCCCTGATCAGGGATGTTGAAAAGCATGCAGTGGAAGAAAGGAATGACGAAGCCGTCACGTCCCAAGCGGGGGAGGACGGAGGAGGAATCGGAGGAGGAGGAGGAGGAGGTCCGTAGCCATTTTGGCTCAAGTTCGAAACGTGCGTCCCTGGCGCTTCGAGCTTGAACGCGGCCAAGGGGTGGCCCAAGCGTTCTTCCCGTGGCTAGGCCACGCTCTTGCCTGCCGTGCGCCAAAGCACGCTTCGTTCTGGCAACCTGCCCGCTCCCCCAGGTGCGCTGTCTCCGATGTCCTATGCCGGTCCCACGCAGATGCGCATGGCCGAGGAGTTGGATGCACTCGCCACCTTCCCGTCATCACAGGTCGACGCTCCTGCATGGGATATTCCTGCTGGCGCTGCTGGCCCTGACGATCCTTCCACGCCTCGAGGCGAAGGGCAGGTTTCAGGATCTCCGCCAATAACCAGGTTCTATCGAACCCCCAGCTCTGGCCAGGGAAGTGCTCGCATATTTGACTCGGCGTATTTTTTCTTCGCGAGGCGGCCCAGGGGGTCGAGACCTCGGCGCTGGCACGGTGGGCGCGAGGCGCTCAGCAACGGTTCCCACGCAGCGGCTTCAGTCAGCCAGTCATCGAGCCTGCGTGACTAAACGAGTCGTCAAAACGGACCGTCGCAGCAAGACTTCATCGCGGACAGGGTGGTTCGCCCGGGCCCCCCGGGGCTGGAGGCCCAAGGCGCAACTCCGACCCTGGCTCTTCAGGCAAGGGCGGCCATGGCAGGAAGGGGGTTGTGCTACTAGGTGTTGCGCTGTGCCTTTGAAGGCCCCCGCCATGACCCCATGATAGCAGCCGCGATTCAAGTTCTGAAGGAGTGGATTCACCTGCTCCCTGGCCCGCAGGAAGCTAATCAGCATGGTCTCCGCGTTGCTTGGGGACAGGTTGTAGCCATGCTGCAGGACGCTGCCACCCGCTGGAAGAACGTTGACGGTTTTGTTGCAGCCACAGTTGCATGTTTGCTTGAGGCATGGTGGGCACCACAGGAGCCAGTTGTTTGGACGAGTGCGGATGGCGAGGTTTTCCAAGTGCTCGCATGCGATCCTGAGCGCCTGATGTCGGGTCTTCTAGAGGCGTTTGATGTCCTGGCCTGGAAACAACAAGCGAGTGAACATTACCACGGCAGCAGTCTAGCAGGCCGTGCTGACATCCTTGTTTCATTCCAGAGGTTGAATAAGCTCAGAGCCGTGGCAGCCATTGATGAAGCTGGAGTTTTGGAAGTGGTCTTGTCAGGAGCCCTCTGGCCAGCTTCGACGCGGTTTGGGGATGGGGCTCGGGGGCCTTTCCCCAGGTCGCAGGCTCCAGAGGCCCCTCCAGAGCCTGGCCAGGATCCTGAGCCTGATGACAACTTTCATAACCTTACTCAGCCGCCCGTCCTCGCCTAATTAGGGCTAGACGAGGATGAATGCGATGGTGATGCGATGTTCGAGGAAGCATCGCGAGCCGCTGAAGAGCTGCAGTCGCATGGGGAGTTGCAGTGTGACCCCTCTGAAGAGGAGCCCATCTCGGGGCCCAATTCAGTTTGGACCTCCCCCTCTTGCCCTCGCTGCGGGGCGCCCCGGGGGGCCCTCCCCCGCCAGCTATGGGGCTGCCCGCTCAATGGCCCGACCCCGGGTTTCAATCCCTCCTTTCGGGCCCGCGCGGAGGCTGAGTCGGGCGTCGCCCCTGCTTTCTGGCTGCGAGGCCTCCAACCCCCAGAAGGGGCACATCAGCATGCATGTGTCCCGATTCAGGGCGAAGGGGGGCGCACGGCCCAGCTGGGAGAAGACCATTTCGAGTTCGATGGGGCGGGTGCGCGATCGGGTCGGGCGGGGCGGGGGGGGGGGGGGAGTTCGGATCCTCGTTTGAGGAGATGCGGCGGGGTTTTCGCCATTTGCGAGGAGCCTGGCATGTAGCGTGGGGGCTCGCACCCCTGCCTTGTGATAACAAGGCTGTTCCAGGGGCAGAATTGTATGCTATCGCCCGCGCGGCCCAACTCGCCGCGTGCCCCGTGGAGTATTGTGTGATTGCTGATGAAGTAGTGGTCCGCGGAATTCGTGCTGGCCCCCGTTATGAGCATGCGAAAATGGTCTGTCTCTACATGTTTTTTTTTTGGAGAGCGGTAGGTGATCGAGCCATATCAGTGCACAAGGTTCGCTCACACTTCGCGTTAGAAGATGCAGACACCATCGCTGTTGACCCAGTCCACTGGCAGGCAAATCGCCTTGCGGATAAGGCAGCGCAGGAATGGAGTTAGGAGCGCCCAGATTCCCTGTCGCGCGAGGCGTTAGGCAGGTGTGACTGACATTTTGCGCGGCAGAGTGTTGGACTTTCTCTTGGCGGTTTCGATGGCCCTGGCCCTACAAGCCCCGACATTGCGCGGGGCCGCGTCCGAGGGCAGCCGCCAAGAGGAGGCGAATATTTCTGTTGCCCTGTCGCGCCAAGAAAGACAGTCCAGTCTGGCCCTGCTCGTCGGTCGGTCGCCGCACTCCGTGGAGCAGGGGGCCCGAGGATTTTGGCGTTGCGCTGTTTGTTGCCAGTCCGACCGAGGGGAGAGAGAGAGAGAGAGAGAGAGAGAGAGAGAGAGAGAGAGAGAGAGAGAAAGAAAAAGAAAGAAAGAAAGAGAGAGACTTTCCTCCGATCGGCCTGCCCAGGTCATCCTGCTGCGACCCACCCCGCCCATGCACTGGAAGCTTTCAGAGGTGTGCACTGGAGCCAGCTCTGTGGAGGCTCGGGTATTCCCGCGACAGCCAAGCTGCTGAAGCTAGGGGGATCTTGTGTGCCTGGCCTCAAAGACAATGGGCGGACAGTAGGGAGGGCATTGCTAGATGGGGAGCTTCCTCCTGATCTCGAGGCGCGGCCTCATTGATCAGAAGCCCCGGCCACCTCCCGCTGCGGCCTCAGATTCCAGATGTCGCCCCTGGTTCCTGAGGTGACATCATCTGACGGTTGTGGCCCAGGATCTTTCATTTTTCCCTACCTAGGATCTGCCTAGAAGGGTTCTTACCCTGTATGCTTAAAGGGCCGGGCAGTGCTCCCCGCCCCGGGCGGTTCCCCCAGGATCCGCCCCGCGGTTCCCCCGGCATCCGCCCCGCGGTTCCCCCAGCTGCGAGCTTGGCTTAGCTTAGCTTAGCTAAGCTTAGCTTCGCTTAGCTGGTCTCATCTTAGCTTAGCTGAGTCTAGTCTAACTTAGCTTAGCTCAGCCTAGCTTAGCTTAGCCTAGCTTAGCTTATCTCATGTTATCCCAGCTTAGCTTAGCTTAGTTTTGCTTATCTCATCATAGCTTAGCTTAGCTTAGCTTAGTCTAGCACAGCTTAGCGTGGCTTAGCCGAGCCTAGCATAGCCTAGCTTAACCTATCTTAATTTATCTCACCTTAA